AAAAGTTACAGGGCGTTAAAGTTGAAATTTAGAATTCGAAATTCTTAAAATTCTTAGAAAGTTTTCAAAGGATTCTTTTGAAAATTTGGATTAGGGGGTTTCCTGGGACGAGAAAAACAAATCCGTACTTAATTTTGCTGTAGACGCTAGAGGGCACTACGAAATGTACTCTTGGTTGATAAAAACTGGTTATAACTTTTTTATCAGTGTGTGTACGAAAGTAAATATTGTTCTCCTATCTATTTTTCATAAATAAGGGATACTTGTTTTATGTCGATAAATTTAACCGTTTTCGATTTATTTCTTGTTTTTCTATTGGATGCAATAAAATAAAATACATAATTTATTAAAACTACTGAACTACTGAATCTAATCTTTTTCATCAAAAAATGTTAAATAACGAAAAAAAGAAAAAAGTGAAAGGAATATTTTTTTAATTATAAAAATTTAATGTAGCCACCTGAATGTAATTAAATTATTATTAAAAATAATTTTTAGTTTTTTACGTAAGTAACTACAAACTTTTATTTTATTTTATTTTATTGCATCCAATAGAAAAACAAGAAATAAATCGAAAACGGTTCGACATAAAACAAGTATCCCTTATTTGTAAAAAATAGATAGGTGAACAATATTTTTCTATTAAAACTTTCGTACACACACTGATAAAAAAGTTATAACCAGTTTTTATCAACCAAGAGTACATTACGTAGCGCCCTCTAGCGTTTACAGCAAAATTAAGTAAGGATTCGTTTTTCTCGTCCCAGAAAACCCTCTAATCCAAATTTTCAAAAGAATCCTTTGAAAACTTTATAAGAATTTTAAGAATTTCGAATTCAAAATTTCAACTTTAACGCCCTGTAACTTTTTTATTAGCCACAAATGGACCAAGGTAAGTTTGGCTTAATCGCATTATTTTGATGTAGGGAATCTACTCTTGCTCTGTGTCCCATTAATTTCGGGACACCCTGTATATATCCATGAAAAAACATTTAGATGTCTATATACTATGAGTTCACATTCTAGTAGAGCTAAAACCGTCGAAATAGTTAAAGAGTATTTAATAAAACAAAAGGGTGATGTTTACCTACATTAGAAAACCTCCAATTATACGCAGTTTTCTGAACCTAACAATTACTGCAGAAAATTGAATTGCATTTCTCTGGAACGAAGGATTTTAGCGAGGTGTAATAGTATACCTTTTTACAGTAAATAGGTACAGTAGATTTACATAAAATGCCTATTTTTTCCAAAAATCTCAACCAACAAACAACGAAAGTCGATAGAAGATATTTTTAGCAACCTCTGTGCTTTAGGTACGAAATAAATAAGTGTTGTATTGCAACACATATTCATCAGTTTATTTTCATCTAAGGAAACTGTCCTTGAAGTATGACCAATTCATTTCCGGAGATCCTTTAAAAAATTCAATTCACAAATTTCAAAATTACTAGCAAATTCGAAAAGTCTAACTTCATACTGCCACATGTTTTTTATAATGAGGATCGACACATGCTAACAAAGGAGTCATCAACGAAATACGTTTGCACTCAAACCATTAAGATTTACATAATGTCTCACACTTTTCTAATACTTGCCTAAAGATATTGTAACTAAATAAGCGAATATAGCAGGTTAGCAGTTACTACGAGCCGTCGCTGAATAGCGACTTGGCATCCACCTTTCTCCAGCGAAGGCCGCCATCTTGGATACGTTACGGCCTGTTATTTATTTATCTCCGCAAGGTCGCGTACTTTATTGGAATGTGTCTACTAATTATACATATTACAGACGTCACCGTCACAATCGAAAATATCGAGTGCTTCAAATATATTAATCACACCGACCTTTACGTTATGGTAACCTTCATTTCTTTTGTTTGTTTACAAAAGATATATTACTGTTTTATATTTGTTTCGCTTGTTTTCTAAACAATACTGTAGCTATTATGAAATTTCATGAAAGCAAACCGCAGATATTCTTTGACAAGCTGAATTTCAACAGCACACCGTGTACCTACATAAGGATAAAATATGATAATTTCTTCTGACATTTTATTAGGATCGTGTGGCGCCTATTTTTTCTGGTTTACTCATTTTTACCTGTATCGCTGTAATAAATAATAAGAGAGCCGATAAACGTTTTCTTCTCAGAAATGTTACTGGAATTGTTTTGGTTGTGAATATTGTTCTTTTCAGAACGACAGAAGTATTTGTAACGATTAACGGGGCCAAAAACAAAAAGGTCAACAAAATTTATAAATGAATTTGCTAATTTATTGAAACATAAATATACAGGGTGTAACAAAAAAGGTGGGCTGGCTATACATAGCCATATTGTACTCATCAAGGCGATCAAAAAAGTTTATATACACCCTGTATAATTTATTTATCAGATTTTATCAAATATTCAGAAGAAAAATCTTCAATCAAACAGCAACCCATAACAGATTGTAACTTACAACTTATATCCAACTAACACAATAATAAACATATACGAGGTCTATGCAGAAAATAACCGAACTTTATTTTTTTTAACTTTATTATTAATTTTATACATTATTGGTCCTTGTCTCCTTCAAAGTACCCCTTTCGTAACTGTAAACTCAGCATTCGTCTCTTGTTATGATCCTTTGAATGAATGTTTCATCGTCATTAGATTGTTCCAGGAGTTACCCACAAACGTCTACACGATTTTCTTTCTGTTCGTTCATCAAACGAGGAACAAATTTTGCTGCAACTCGATGCATGTTCAGTTTTTCAGTCAAAATTTCATGGCATGACCCGATTGAGATGATAACCTCCTCTATAAATTCTCTGACAGTCAATTGACGATTTACTTACCCAAATCTTTAACTTTATGAAGGTGGGTGGTCATCAGTTGAAGCCGAAAGCCTTCGTGGTCGAGAATCCTCTTCAATTGACTGACGCCCATTTTTAAATCGTGAAAACTATTCGTAACATTGAGTACGACCCAGAGCATCATGGGAATCTGAGAAATTTACCCCAATTTTTACATTACCTATGTGTAGGTATACTAATATAACTAGGTCAATTTCTTAATGACTTTCTTAGATAAAAAATCAGTAAATAATAAATAAAACAGGTTTAAGATCTTAAAATGAATACAAATCTGGGAAAGTACACTGTAAATCATAATATAAAATATGTTAAATCTATTTTTTTTTTTAATGAAAGTGATGCTACAATACACAAGTGATGATACAATAAATGTATGTTGTTAATAAAATTCGATTTTCAGAAAAACGATACAAGTTATCAACTGATATACGGTATACTTTTTTTTTAGGAAAGTGAGAGAGGAATCGAATTATGAAAGAAAAATGTGAAATTTGGCAACGCTGTCAAAGATGTATAAATTTAAATAAATAATTTCGTCTACTCCTGTATAATCCAGGCATATTGAATATCAGTTTAAACTTGGAAATGAACATTACCATGAGTTACTTTAATTGCCCAAATTTCATTATTGTCATGGTAACAACTTGGAAGTTATAATTGGAATTTGTTTCTCAAACTCCTTTCTTTGAAGGCGAATAACTCCACAACGAAGCCCGATAGGAACAAATTTTCTATGAAGTATTACAACTATTTTGACCTCCTTAGTACACCCCTTCCTTTTTGACATGATCTTTTCGGACACCCTGTATATTTATATATTTTTTATATAATTCTTTTATAAAATGTCTAAGCTTTTTATAAATGACTAGGCAAATTGTAAAATGATGTGTAAATAACAATTTTTTTATAATTTGACTGCAAATTTTAGGCATTTTACAAAATGCTGAATAGTTATGTCTTATTGTAAAATGAACACAAAAGCCATTATTTTTACATTACGCCTAGAATAAATTGATCATATTCAAGCGTGCTTACTGCCGATACTGTCCTCCAGTTATCCGAATTGTAAGGCATTTTCTAGTTTCTAGATTAGTTTTCCACTTCACTCAATTTATGAGTTTGTACCGTGGTATGACATTATGTAAACAAACGCTAAATTAGCAGCAATTTTTTGCTATTTTCACTTCAAAAATTTGGGTTTCAAGACATAATACATATTTTAAACTAGTAGATTTAGAACTTAACACTCTTATTGTTAAAAAATCAAATGTAAGAATTAGTATTTATTTTTTCATGCCAGATTATGTAGAATTAGAAAATAGTTTTTAATTGTATGCAGTACTAGCAATAATATAAATTGATATTTCATGATATGCCTAATTGATTTTCAGTCGTTTACAAAACGACTGGAGAGAGCCAGTCTAACGCCTAAAATTTTACTTCAAATTGTAGAAAAATTGTATTTACACATCATTTTACAATTTGGCTAGTCATTTATAAAACACCTAAGCATTTTATAAAAAGATTGAATTTGCATTAGCCTGCAACAACTTGGACTGCGTTGCTACTAACCTCAACCTTTTCAATTTATTATTATTGTCTTTACCAAATAGTATTACAATTTAATTAAAATTAAATTGTTATAAATAGAATTAAATATCAACGTAAATCCAAAACTTCATCCGTCGAATTTGAAAACGATATGTGTATGCATACCTTCTTATAATTATAGAAGAGATGTAAACGTTAAGTGAGAATAGCAGCGTATATAACTAGCTGATAAATTGCATTGAAAAATGGTTGAAATACTTGCATAAGCTAAAAAACTTAGTACCGGGGTTTTACTTTGTTTTTAAAGTTAATCCTAAGAGTTTAGTATTACAATCGTATTCCTGAAAATACTTAACTAGTTTTATATTTACTTTGTGCAAAAAAAACGACAAGTCAAGGTTACGTACTAGTCATAATTAGGGTGAGGCTCAAATATGAGAGGTTACTTGCTTACATGGTATCACAGCAATCAATACGTTATATATTGCCGTCAGCGTATGAACCACATGTTTTTCGTTAGCTTTAGTTAAAACGGATATTAAAATATCATAATAGTAATATAATGCTCTAAACACAGTATATTTGTAGATATGGTGAGAAACAGGGAAGAAGGAGCAGCCATCAGCAAGAAATGACCCCCATCCAACTTCTGTCGGCTACCGCTTATCAGCTTAAGAAACCCTATCAACAGTTGTTGATTCCCATAACGGTTTTTATTGGAATGGAACAAGCATTCATCGGTGCCGATTTCACTCAGTCGTACATTACGTGCGCTATGGGGGTTTCCCAGGTTGGTTACGTCATGATCTGCTTCGGGTGCGTGAATGCAATATGCAGTCTCTTATTCGGTTCGATCATGAAATATATCGGGAGAGCACCAATTATGGGTCTGGGAGTCCTTGTACATACTGGTCTACAGTCGTGGATGTTGATATGGAGGCCTCACCCTGATGCTCCTATGAAATTCTTCATGGCTGCCGGACTATGGGGTGTCGGCGATGCTGTGTGGCAAACTCAAGTTAACGGTAAGGGCGACGTAATACTTATTAGTTCTTTTTTTATTGGCACCTGCATCGATTGCATATTGGTCAACGAGTCACTTCACATAACCGCAGTCCTCTAGTCCTTCACAAAATTATCTACGCCTTCCATTTTATAACCGTGACAAAACTGCTAGCGAATTTCACAATAGTGCATTATTTCGAAATCGATGTTTGTACTCGGAGACCGTTTATAAGCGTATAAATTTATAGTAATGGCTGATTATTATTTAAAAACGGAACATGACATCTAATCTTGGAGGATATTAATTGAAGCTATACTATACTATAAAAAAGGGAAAATGCATAATATATTTATTATTCGTTCCTTCAAAACCTGAGTGTACTAGGTGGGTCTTTTCTCAAAAACTAGTAATTGTCTAACCCTAAATCTTTCTGGATACGTATGTATCTTCTATGCTTTATCCTTTGCCTTAGAAAAAAATCTCATTGTGGTAAAGTCAATGAAGTAGAAAAAAGGATGGCGCATAATTTTTTCTTAATAGCGCACTATACAGGGTGATTTCACTTTAAATACAGAAACTGCAGGACTAGATTCATTACCAAACAATGAGTTGAGTTTGCTCTATAAACTTTTTTTGCTGCGGACTCGGTATTCGAGATACAGGGTGTTAACGTTTCCAAAAAAATATAGGTATATTTTCTGCTATATCTTCATAATGCGCTGACGGAATTGAATGAAATTTACTACAGCGTATTTACTTAATTAGACCTTTTATTGAAAGTAATATTAACTTCGTGGCATTAATCAGTGGTGTGCTACTGAAGGTGCCGCTATGTTTTCCCAAAAAAAAAATACGCCACTAGCAATTTTCTGTAGAAATAATGATAAATTCAGGAACTGTTACTTTATTCGAGATACAGGGTGTTAAAATTTACAAAAAAATATATATTTTCTGCTATATCTTCATAATGCGCTGACGGAATGTAATGAAATTTACTACAGTGTATTTACTTAATTAAACCTTTTATTGAATGTAATATTAACCTTGTGGCTTTAACCAGTGGCGTGCTACTGGAGGTGCCGCCCCATTTTCCTAAGAAAACAATATAGTGGAGTCAAGATAGATTTTGACTTCGCGAAAATTACGTGAAGAGAAATATGCGAAAAAAAATTTTTTTTTATTTATAGTAAAAAGTGGAAAATTGTTGTAATAGCAAAAAAATAACGTTTTTTAATTAATTGATTTAATATTCATTTTTAAAAAGTATATTCTGTATCTGAAATTGTGAATATAAGTTCGAAACCTGCTCGGTGAGTATGGCACGCGCATGGTGTATTCTACTACATAGAAATATATACAATAGCCTTGCTTGCGAAAGGGAATTTTGGAAGTTGTGAGCACACCAAATATTTTTTTGTTACTTACAGTTTTATTTTAAAAGCGTTTTTCGTTTATAAGAATTAAATAATATTATTATAAATGGTATAAGAATATTATTTTTATGTTTTCAAGTAAGCTGCTGCTATCAGTGTTAAAAAGTGTATTATTCACATATTTTGTCCATTTTGAGGTTATACTCTCCTACACTTGTAATTCTTTAATGTAATGATGAGTTTGATATTTATATATGAATATTGATCCATTTTTAAAATAATTAATGAATAGATTAATAATAGGGGACGTTGATTTTGATTTTGTAATTTTGTATTTAAAATCAGTGTTTTTTTTCAATTTTATTGGTTTAAAGTTTAATTGCCCAGTTATTTTTGAAGAAGAGCAAGAACTCTTGATGAGATGAGATTTAAAAATTAATTATTTTGTAATAAATTTGTTTTTTAAAAAATAAAACATATTTTCAATAAAATCTCTAGCCATTTATAATTTTCATTTTTCGAACCTCTATATTACAAATATGAGCGAGTTTGATTTAAAATCGATAATTGTTAAATAAATTGTTTAAAATAGTCGGCCATATTGGATCAGCCATTTTGAATTTTCAGTTTCCGACTTCATAATCTTGTTCAGCGACATCGAAAACCCCTATATTGTCAATTTGAAAGAATTCGATTTAAAATTCATTGAATTATTTTAAATGTTCTTAAAAAAACTATTTATTATTGTTTAAATAATTAAAAAACAATTAGCGTACAAAAATAAGTTTATAACTTTTTTTCTAATACTTATCTCCAAGTAAATTCAAAAGGTTTTAGGAAAATCCATGCTTCCCATAATTATTTCGAAATAATGCGTAATTTTAAGCTATCTTGACTCCACTAATACGCCACTGGTGTTTTTTTGTAGAAATAATGTTACATTCAGGTACAATTACGTTAAATGAAAGAAAAATGTTTCGTGGTGTTTTTTAATAGTAGCAGCCGTTTAGGAGATATATGGGCTTGTGTTTACGTTTTATTGAATTTTCCTTATAAACTAATCTGTTTATTTGATGAAAACCTGGTTTTAACTAGTGGCGTGCTACTAGCGTCCGCCAAGAACACCACTGGCGGTTTTTTCTAGAAATAATGTTATTTCTGGGAGAAAATGAAACTAAATAATAAAATAACATTAACAAATAGGTTGAGTAAGTAATTAAGTAATGAGTCCTACAACAATTGTCCAAAACGAAATCCTTCCGCATCGATACATTTTTGACATCTTCTAATCTATTTATAGAGGAACTTATCATGACATGATTTTCCCTGAGATTACAATTTTCCTCTATTCTTTGCCACAATTCGTCTCGTGTTCATAAGCCCAACAAGGACTGCAGCTTCAGCAAATAAATAAACAAAGCTAGTTATAATACCTACTAAAACGAGATCATCGTAAAGCTTACTAACTGATAATGCGAACAAAAGATTCAATTTTTGCTGATGGATTTTAAACAAATATGATTAAGTGGACTAAATTTGCGCATTATGTTCGCCAAATAACTAAATTATCCCCTAAACGGCTGCTACTATTAAAAAATACGAAGAATCAGTTTTCATTCATTTAAAGTAACAGTTCCTGAGTTTTATCATTATTTCTACAGAAAATTGCTAGTGGCGTTTTTACCAAATTATGACTTTTTAAAAATAACTTTTTGGTCATTTGAAAATCTACTGCGACATGAAATAATTTTTCATAAAATTCTATAGAGACTTTAGTTAGATATATTTCGTATTAAAATAGATTTCTTCTTCTTGTTCATCATCTTCTCTAATGGTTAGTTCTAACCCAATCCAATCCAAGATGTAAAGAGATTAATTTTATTATGATTTTTCAGTAACCTACCTATAAATTGGAGCGAAAAACAAAACGTAATTCACGCGGTTTACAACAACTATTCCAGACCTAAATAATTCGACTCAGTAGGTATAAAAACAGCTTATAAGAATGTGGTTAAACAATGATTTCTTTTAAATAATTAAACATTCTTAATCGAATCTCAATTTTGTTGATTTCGCAATTTGAAAACTATTTATCTGGAAAAAAATATTATGAAATAAAGGAAAATTATCTGTCAATTAATTGTAGTACATAAACAATTATCTTTGCAGACAAATTGCAGGAAAAACATTGTTCAATAATAAATTAATTCGAAATTTCTCACCATGTCTGTACTGAATTATGTTTAACAACACCGATCTGGTGATTTAAGTACTTCATCAAGTGTTTCGTTAAACAACGGAGGATTTTCTAATTGGCGATCTTTATTATCGGTTTTATAATTATTCGCACTTTTTAACAACATAATTACACCTCTACGGCGATGCTATAAATAAAACATATTTTTGCATTGGAATTATTAAACAATTGCTATTTTGAAATTTTATCGTTTTTTTTTCCTAGATTAGAACTAAATTTAAATATGTGTCTAACAAATACATTTTGTATTTTATCTATTAAATAATATTGTAGTGGTAGATGCTCGAATATTGCTTTCGGTTTGGAGAAAAAGCTGATTGTCAAATTTGAATGAAATCGCGTTTTATTTAAACTGTTTTTTTCTGTATACTTTAACAGTGTTTGCGGACACATTTTTATGTTTTTTTTACTTAGTTAACATTCACTTCTATTATATTAATTACACCCTGTAGAATAATATTAGTTCTTCTTTTCTTGGCGAAGTCAATATATGTGAATACTTAAATAAATTTCAACGCTAATTTAATTTAAGACGAATGCCGATTCGCCGATCGAATTCATATGAAGCGCAGTTATTTAAATTGTATCAGAATTTTAAACAGTTATATTTATCTGAATATTAATCGTATTTTTTACCATTCAAAATAATGGAAAGAGCCTAAGAACGTACAGTGTAAACAGGAATTCATTAAATGAATTAAAATCCAGTTATAAGGAGAGGCACGTTCTAAATTGCTCAAATGTGTTAAGACATGAGACAAGTTTGTTTATAATGAGTGTCTCCTTATAAAATTTCTCTTTAATGGTCTCCCATAATACTAAATATATACTACAGGATTTTCATTTGTTTTCAAATTACAACGTCATGGCAAAATACCCCATTGTTTTAAATATACAGTGAAAAAACATTATGATTTAAATTCACACAATTGTTCCTAAACTCCACAGGCACTTTGAAAATTCAATATTTACATTGTGATTATTTTTGGAGTAGTGAAAATTGCAGATTTTCACAAACCTTTACACAATATCGTCTGCAATTTTCAGTGAATTTCAGGAACAATTGTGTTAATTTTAATGAGAATATTTTCCGTGTGTAGCATTCTTATCAACAAATTTCCAAAAATACTGCTATTGGCCTGTAGATATTGTCTAGTTCGTCTATAAAAAGTTGGTGTTCTTTCTTTAACATCAGTTGTAACATTTCTAACACGTCGCATCGCGTCGGTTCATCCCGACTATCACCTTCTACTTTATACACCTCACTTTTTAACCAACCACACAAACGAAAGACTAATGACATGAGTTCTGGAAAACTTGGAGGTCAACTAATAAGACCACCGCGACCAATCCTGTGACTGCAACGGATTAATTCAAATGGCTAATTGAGTTTTTGTAAAAAAAAAGGATAATCCGCATGTAAAATATATTTATTTATATTTTATTATATAAGTGTAAGATGCAGTAGTTCGAAAACAAACGAAACGCCATTTATTACAAAAATACTGCAGTTAAAACAATGTGTGTAGGATATTTTGTCGTGATAGGCTATAGTTTGAAAACAAATGAATATCAGTAAAGAAAATACACCCCTACCTGAGTATGGTGCATTCCTTCTAACACCCTGTTGAGTAGCAGAGTTTCCTGTATTAACAGTGGAAATATTTTCAAGGTATTTTTCCATAATTTTATTAACCAAAGGTATATCCATGCAATTTCATTGATTTCACTCATACAGGTTGCTCATAATAAGACAGCCAAATCATATACATATTTCTTTTATTATAGCAGAAATGAGTTTCACAGTGAAATAATATTTAAATATTATTGTTTTCTATTAACTCATCATCATTTGATATGCACTGTTTAATTCGTCTCCTCTTATTTCTAATAAGTCTCCTCGACTGAAGTGGTGTTATTTATCGACATTCTTTTCTAATTCTATTACATAAATCTTAATTAAAAAAATGAATGTGTTTTGTGGAATTTTCTGTGATCGAATAATCGGGCCCTTCTTTTTTAACGTTAATCTACATATACCCAGAAATTTTTTTGAATTTTTTAAATAATGATTTCTGGGATTTAGTACACGCACTTCCTCTTCATGTAAGATAGAACCTTTACCTTCAACTAGATGGGGCACCTATTTATAATGCGGTGGCTGAATGAGAATTTCCCGAGAAAATGGATGGGTCCCAACAATCCGTTAGTTGAGTGGTCGCCAAGAGCTCCAGACTTGACTCCCCTTGATATATTTTTATGGGGACCTGTGAAAAATAAATTGTATAAAACAAGGCTCCGGCACAGAAGATTTATGTAATAGAATTAGACAATCATGTATGTTGACCAATATCACCACATCAAGTGAGGAGAGTTATTAGAAACAAGAGGAGGCGAATTGAACAGTGCACACCAAATGATGGTGGACTAATAGAAGACAGTAATATTTAAATTTTATTTCGTTGTGAAACTCATTTCTGGTATTATAAAAAATATATATCTTATTGTGAGCACCCTGTTTGAGTGAAATCAATGAATCTGCATGGATATACCTCCGGTTAATAAAATTATGAAAAAATACCTTGAAAATATTTCCACTGTTAATACAGGACACTGCAATGAGTGAAATTTTTCAAAGTTTGCACCTATTTTGTGAACACCCTGTAAAAACTATAATAGTGAAACTTTGTATTTAGGGTTTTGAGCTGTGATCAAATCGAATATGCTATCCATTTCTTTCTTAAAAAAATACCTAATATGTTTTTTAATTTTTGAGGGTCTTTTGTTGATGATAGTAACCGTTGAAAATATCATATGTCAAAAAATGTAATATCAAAAAGTAGGCCTTTTTGAGTAGTACCATATAAAAAAAAAGAATTTTAGAAATCGGCCAACGCCCTCCTAAATACGGAGGTGTACCGACTTTAAGTGAAACACTGTATATAAGCTTAGAATCTAATACAAACATAAAAAATAGTAGCAAGCAATAATAATAATGAATTAAATTCGCTACACTTGCTTCTAAGTATAATATAGTTTTAAGCATTAGAAATAATCAATTTGAGTTAGATCCGGTGATCTTGCAAGCCACTTTATGAAATCTAGCATGGCAATCTATTATAGAAAAAAGTATTAAAATGTAATATATTATGAACATAAAATAATTAAATTAATAATAATAAATAATAATAATAATTAATTAATTAAGTAGCGTTACTAAACGTATCTACCTGTTGGCTTTTTTTAGTAGTAGGATCATTTAGCGTGAACTCGGGATAACTAAAAATGGGCATGTACGAATATAATCACTAATTCGTAGAAGTAATTAATTAATCATGTTCATTAGTTTGGCGCAAATGCGGCAATATTGCCGATGGCAATTCATTATTTTTTTATGCTATGTAATAGCTACAACAAACAGTACCAAGTAATAAAAGTTTTAATACGTTGATATATTCCTGTTGCTTAGTCAGAAGTATATTCTCATGGAGACTCGCTAACTTGCCTTGCCTGGAGCAGAAGAAGAACCAGTTTTAGCTAGTTTACATTGCCGGAGGACTAATCTCATTAACTACAACAGAAAACAGCCACAAGTCAAAAGACTTTAACCCGAAAATTGTGTCTGTCGGTGATTATAATAATCTTCATTGAATTTATTGTTTTTTGTTGCATTTAATATTCAATGCGTTAATCATACAGTCAAAAGCATGTTAATTTTCCTTTGCACCTCTGTCTTTCCTTGACATTTGGAAAGCAGGAAAAGTCATTGCGTAAGGTGCAAGGTTACATTATGCACAATTTTTTATAAATTATAAAATAACATTTGAAAAATTGATTGATATAATAGTCCACTGTATTGTACATATCAACCATAAAGCTTTATTAAATTCTTTAAGATTAAAAGTAGATAAAAGCTATATTCAAGGTATATTTTTCAGGATTATATGGTACTCTATTCAGAAGAAACAAAGAAGCCGCATTTTCCAATTATAGGTTATGGGAGAGCGTGGGATTCGTAATTGCTTATGCTTATTCAACGCATCTGTGTTGCCGAATGAAACTTTACGTCCAACTGACGATACTCCTTGCTGGATTTATTCTATACGTTATCGTAGAAATTCACCACTTACATAAAATCAGGAGACAGAAGGCGAAAGAAAAGAAGGCCGCCGCACTGGAAGCGAGTAAACAACAAGTACCTCCAGAACCAGAAGAAACGGATGATGAAAAAGATGATATCGACGATGAAATCATTGTCACACATTTATAAACTAGGTAATTATAATTAATACCACTTACACTATTAGAAATAGGGATAGGAGATAGAAATCGGGAAAATTGTACAGTGTTTTCTAAGCAGTCTAAAATATTGAAGGTGATTCCCCAGATCCGTTTTAAGATGAAAACTTTACACAATTATCCTAATTGTTCCATTTCAAAGATATACGTAGGATGTTGTTTGATGAACATAGTTATTTCAATATAATGTTTTTCAAAGAAATTATTAACACAAGTAATAGTAAAAGTATTACACCTTATTTTAGGTAATACGAGTAGGTATTTACAAAACAAATTTTATATTCACAATTTTCTAAACCAACGGTATTTGGCAGGGAGTACATAATTATGGATATAGTTATATCACACATATAGATTGTTTGGTATATTTGTCCTAGAGAGGTTCAAAAATAATAACTGAAACTTATTTAATATTTTTAATTTGTATTGAATGAACTAAACATAATAATGTATACAGCGTGGATCATTTTGATGATTCATGTATTGGCATCTTGGAAACTATAAGAGATAGGAAAGTGATTAAATGGAGAAAGTTTTAGATAGTACTGTTGCTAACTTAATGGTGCTTGCAGACCGGTCCTCGCTCTTCAGGTTTTTGAGTTATTTTGAAAAAAAGTAAATGTGGCATTTTCGAAAATCGTCTGTAACCTTTTTATTTAGAGGAATTTTTAAAATCTGAAAACACTTTTCCACAGCGAGTTTTTTCGAGAAATATTACTGTATATTTAGATTTTCATGGCGACGTTTCGGTTGCGAGAAACCATCATCAACTTTCTTTTTTCTTATGGGTGCTATATTGAATTTTAAGCTGAGCAAATAGAGCATTTTTTTGGTTTTTCAATAAGTAAGAAAAAATTTAAAAACAACCTCAAAAATCAATATTTTAATATTTTTTACAAATTTGGCAACACCGTATAATTTTTCAAAACTATTATAGAATAGTCTCAAATTTTTGTAAAAGGTTTTCATTAATGTCATGAAGTCGAGTGAAAAAATTACGCTTTGCGTTATTCCAATGAAGAAAAATGTGCTTTAGTAAAAATAATAAAAAAGCAACTGTGGCATTAAACAGTTTTATTGGAAATTATCCCGAAAGACAACCACCAAATGAAATATATTTTTATAAATGTATAGCAACTTTGAGAATGTTGAAAAGCTACATGCTAAGAACTACGAAAGAGATAATTCAGGCAATAATTTTTTTTTTTTTTCATTGGAATAACGCAAAGCCATTTTGCCGATTTTAAAACAAGTGTCACTCAAACTGTTAATAATTAACTCGAAGATTAACAATAATTCAAAATGACAAGCAGTTTGAAACAAATATTATTATCGTCATGGAGATTCATCGACTACCAATGGGGCTTTTCTTCGTAAACTTGTGGCCATTACTATCATTTTTTCACTCAATGTCAAGACATTAATAATAAGCTTTTACAAAGATTTGAGATTATTCTATAATAGTTTCAAAAAATTATGCGGTGTTGCCAGATTTATTGAAAATATTAGAATATTGATTTTTGCGGTAGTTTTTGAATTTTTTTCTTAGTTATACTATATCATTGAAAAGGCAAACAATGCTCTATTTGCTCAGATTAAAATTCAATATGACCCCCATAAGAAAAAAGAAAGTTGATGATGGTTTCTCGCAACCGAAACGTCGCAATGAAGATCTGAATATACAGTGAAATTCCTCGAAAAAACTTGCTGTGAAAAAGTGTCTTCAGATTTTAAAAATTCCTCTAAATAAAAGTTACATACGATTTTCAAAAATGCCACATTTACTATTTTTCAAATTAACTCAAAACCTGAAGAGCTAGGACCGGTCTGCAAGTACCATTAAGTTAGCAACAGAACTGTCTAAAACTTTCTCCATTTAACCATTTTTTTATATCTTACAGTTTCCGAGATACCAATACATGCATCCCCAAAATGGTCCACACTGTATATAAAATATTATTTCAAATATATGTCGATATTCATATGAACTTTAGACCCAGTTTTTTTATCGGATTTTAAACGGGTTTTACACTTAATGTTTGACCCAATAAATGGTTAAAATAATAGGTCCAAAAACAGTTACAATTCACTATATTTGTGTTCTAGTAAACTCACTAAAATAGTGGCCAAATTTAATGATGCCAACTTTAGAAGAAATACAAGAACAATGTGTACCACTAGCTTTAATAGACTTTTATTGTATACTAGACAGCAGCTGCAACAACTTAAATAAAGTTTCGAAATTATAGAAATGAAATAAAATGGACACTATTGATTAAATTTATCTAAAAATTTTTAGTCGATTTATTGAAACTAAGGAATTTACCACAATTTTTGTAGTACATGGATCAATATAACTTGGCTAATTTCCTTATTATAACAGGCGGAAACTATTATTAATTACTTCACTGTAATAATCTGGGAACATTGGAAACCATCTAGCTCTAAAGTAGATATGTGCTAAATATCCGAGTGCACCGTTTTAACAAAAATTTTTGGCAAACACTCGCGAAATTTTCAGTATGTATTAAATATTAAGTAAGATATGAATTATTAGAGTAGCAGGCACCCTCCCAAGTGTAGGTCATTAATGCTGTGACAGCAGAAAGTATACGTGACTACCTTGACAGTAAACGCATGAGCGAATAAGTCTACTGTCAAAAAACCTTGGTTATTTTCGACATCGACATAATACATAAATAAAATTGAACTTGAAATTTAAAAAAAGGAGCTGCTAAGAACGTTCCTAAAATTAAATTAATCTCTGAATTATTTACATACTGATTAAAGATACAGAATACGATTGGGCAGGCTTTATTGACGCTGTATTATCTTTTGATTATCCTTTTTTTTGGAACAAGTACACGAAAAACAATTAATGGGAGACAGATCTATCTCAAACTTTATTTTTACGCTTATGTTTTTACATATTAACATTATTTATCTACGCTTAATCTGAAATATTTCATAATTCAAAATTTGTTACCGTTTTAAATGTAGTAATTAGAAGCGAATTATACAGAGTATTTTTAAAATAAGTGCGTCCCTTCAAAAAGGTAACAAGTTATTTTAATCAAAATGTCGAGATATATTAGAAAATATGACACTTTTCTGAAATATCCCTTAGGATATTTGACGTAAACTAAGGAAACTTGAGTCACTGATTTATCAAGTAGAAATACCACTAGAAGTCGCAAAACTTCGAGATCAATGAGTATTCCGCAAATTCGATTAGTGCTTTTTATTACCTATAGGAATTCTAAGAAATAAAATCGCACCCAGTTTATTTGAAGAACAAGTCGAAGTTAAGTTTACAATACAGTTAAATAAATTGAAAATAACACTAAAGCTATTCTTTTCATAAAATACAACGTAATCAGAACTCTAAAAGGCTTGTCATTCGAACAAAATTTTAAAAGATCTTTTTCCTTGGAAATTCTATTGATATTAATACCATTAATCGAATTTGCAGACTACTCATTGGCGTCGATATTATGAGACTCCTAGTGATACTGATCCCTCGTGTCTCCGCCACTGGCATAGACATATTTATAAACCAACTTAGCGGACTTTTAATTCTACTTAGATAAATCAGTGGCCGACAACAAATATCCTTAGAGATATTTCAGAAACTTTTTATTCAAAATAATTTGTTCTATTGCCTCTTTAAAGGAATGCGCTTCAGAATACTCTATTTAGGTACTATTTAAGTCTCCTGTGCTAATAAATTATTGTTACATTTCGTGTATTTCTTACATTTAATGGAAATTCAGGAAAATTAATATTTTAGGACATAATCTACATTAGAAATGAAAACAACATAATTCCAGATCGTTGATTATTCTGAAGAATGAAAACAATATTCGTGTCAAGTATTTTTTTTAATTTCTGAGGATCAATTAGCATTTCTTTATAAGAATGAGCAGTGATTCCTGGTAATATATAAAACAATTATTCCCATGCAATAATGGACCAAATGTGGTTTTACCAGAAATATGTGACAGTATAAAATTAACATTAAGAACTTTACTGGGATAATTAATATTAATTACATAATTAGCTATCGTTTTCGGCATAATTGCAAGTATTATACTTACAACCTGGCATGGAGCAGTATTTCATTTCTATCACGTATAAAGGAAAAATAAGGAAAACTTTAAATTGCCTAATATTTATAAAATTTCATTATATTATTATCCTTAATATTTAAATATTTACTTTTATAAACTTGTGCATGACGTCATTCCATGTAATCACACGATGATTCGATGTCATGCTGCGTTAATGCGAGTACTTGACATGAATAACTGTTATAAAATTTTTCAAAAATAAAATATATTACGTATCAAAACCAACGCAATAATAAGTAATATCACACATAATGATTTAATATTAATTTTACTGTAATATTTTTGTCTGTAGAAAGATTTTTAATTATAAAGACATTCATGCTCGTGGACCTGTCCAGTTAATAAAATTTCATAAATTTGTTATGCCATTTTACGTGTACGATAGGACCTTTGCATGCGCATTGTTCTGACGCGACACATTACAACACGTCAGGCGATCCGACACCACAAAAATCAGTAGATCGCGTAGCGTCAGAACAATGCATTTTTGTTTGCACACTCGACATAACAAAAAAAGTTAAAGAAATCTTTTTAGCAAAAACTCCGTTTACGAGTAAACTATTTTTAATTAACTAAAGGCCATTTTATTGAAATGTATGCTTTTAACATGTTTTTGACATCTACACCACAGACCACTCATACCATAGATTTTTACACAAATAAACGAAATACTCTATAATAGCAATGGATTGAAAACTAAGAATTTAGGCAATGAATTGTCTGATGCGCATAAGTTTTTTAATTATCACGTTAGTAAATAAATCACCTTAGTTAATTGGCATTTCCTTTTGTCTTATTGCAATTTCCATAAATTTATTTACCGGCATTAACTATTTATTTTCAATTCTCACACGTGGATTTCAACTGACAAAAAAATTACTGAAAAAAAGGAATTCCGTAAATAAATCGCGAAAGTAATAAATTCTGTTGGAATTAATTGCAAAGCACATAGCAATAATAGAATATTTATGTGCAAACTGAAGATATTTTTAAATATTACTACAATTAATGTTTTATTTACATTTAAAAAATAAATTCTGTATGTAACATTGGCAATTCTCAATGAAATTTAAAGTATTTTTTCTTTCGAATACTAATTAAATATACTGAGCAAAATCTCGTGCAGTTGCCATAATTGTGATTGTAACAAATTTTGGTTAAAAATGATTACTTATTCATTTCTATTATTATAAGCTTTTATTTAACTTCACATGTACGTTTGTTTGTATGTATGTTTAGTTCAAATCTGGAAAGCCAAAGTTCTCGTACAAACTCGTATTAAGCTGGTTGTGACAATTTAAACCTAAGTATATGTTTATACTTGTATGAAGTTTTCTACTTAAAAGTGATTTGATAAATCGCCCCCTCTCAATATTTTGAATCACTTAGGAAACATCCTGTATGTGGGGCCCATTAAGAGTACCTATCCGAATTGTTTGGTTATTCGGCTACCCGCTACATGGAACGTCAAAACATTTAGTTATTACTTGTTTTTATTTTAAACAGTTTAACACATGCCTGCACTAGATTGTAGCATATACCTATTAGAAAACTTAGACATACCTTCAGTTTGTTTGTTTATTTTTTTATTTAGATATCACTGGTTTTAATTAATATTCTACGACTTTTTAAAAAAATAAATAAAAGAAAACAATTATACAGCAAAAATACGTACCTCTATTAATCATCCTTGTGTTTTATTTTCTTTGGCAGCAACCATCCAATTGAGTATTTCTTATAAAAGAACAACTGTACAATAAAAGCAAAATTAAAACAAAAATTAAAGGACTAGAAATGAATGCAAAATAACCTATAAATATTAAGTAACCTTTTTTATTTTTTTCAGGCATTCCAAGTGATTTAAATGTACATTCATGCGCTGTGTTCAAGATCCAAGGGACCAGTGTGTATATTTTTATGACATTTTTTTATGAAAATGCATTGGAGAAGATCAGTATTCGCCCATATCATACTGGTATAATATATTGTATATAATATTTCTGATTATTTAGCAACAGTTGTACGTATATTCATGAGACTTATAGCTAAGCACTCATAATATCGTGTTACGGGAGTATACGCAATATTTTTACAATGTAGTTTTTATCATTACATTATCTGTGATGGTAAATTATTAAGGAATAAAACAAGAAAATAGTTTTTTGAGTTACTGATGATGATAATATTGTGCCTTATACTTAAATAAATGGAATTTCATGTTTAATTCTACTTTCAAGCTTGTTTGATTTGTATTAATCTTTTGATTTAAATATGTGCCATTATAATCAAAAAGTAATTATTTTTGTTTTTGTATAAGGTTATTTGTGTTTACTGCAATTGTCGCAAAGTATTTGTTCATTCACAAAATGAGTGTTTCAACTAATTTTTATTCACATTAAGCTATACATATATTAGGCTGTTTCTAGGATACCCAAATATTTTCTTTTGGATATCCGTCGATACAACATAGTTAATACCTACCTACGTGTTATTATTTTATTTATATTTTATTTTCCTGATAATTATAGATTCTGTACAGTAATTATAGAAATTAGGTATTAGTAGCAAATATTATTATATATTAGGATGTTATAGAAATTTACTGAAATTATAAAGATATTCAGTATTCGTGAGCAATACTGTAACAATAAAAACTTTAAGTTATTGATATATTTTCTTCATTAATTTCCAACCAAAAAAACCTTACCTTAATAATCCATAGCACGCTCAACTAAGTATTTTATGAAACAACTGAATTTCAAAAAAAATAATTTTTGATGTTTTTTTCCATAAACAATAAAGTGTCTGGATGTTAAAATTAAAATAATAAAAACGATCTGTATCTCTTAAACGAATCACTAAAAATTCACAGTATCTATTCTGGAAAGAAATGTTAAAACATTATTCAAATAGTGCTACATGGTGGTTATAGGATAGAAATGAAGGTAAGTACATATATCAAAAATTCATAGAGATGCAGAAAAATCTTTGATATATTCTAGACATTTTAAATCAGAAAATTGATATCTTTATTTTGTATTCAAATAACAGGACTTATTCACTTTCTAGATATTTTCTACACCTGTTTATCTGTAGAACACCATGTTTTTCCGAATTTAGTGGAAATAACTGTGACATATTTTATGTAACCGTAAAACAAAAAACAAATTCTCTACCTATCTGGACCATAGTCAACTACTATTTCCATCAAGTTTGCTTTATAGTCGTAACCAAACATCCATTTAAAAAACTATTATGACAACAATTATTCAATGGCTCAGTTATAACTTTACCTAACACTCATTTAGAGGCAAGTGCGCAAATGTCAAAAAAATGTGTATCACCCTGTAACCTAAAAAAAAAAGAAAGGTCATGAATTGCTATTTAATGCTAATGGAAACAAAAAATAGATGTAATATACAAGTTTAAAAGTGACATTTTATTATGTGAGTGGGGAATATTGCGGAAAGAGCGTAGCGAGTGGAGCAACCCCACGAACAAAATAAAATCACTTTTAACAAATTATCATACAATATTATTTGTAAAACTGTTAGTAAAAAACAAATACCGTCTGTTGGTTTGAACTCCCAATCTATCGCTTACGTGTCACTCCACCCGTTCGTTTCAATTACATGTGACAAAAAAGTATATACAGGCTGTTACAAATTCACTGCAGGGATCTCGGAAACGGTAAGAGATACGAAGTAGCTTAAAAAGCTATGTGCATTTCACAGAGTCTAACGATACTTAGAGTGTACGATAATTCAATAAACATAGAAATCTAAAAAAAATATATACAGGGTGTCCCAGAATAACGTGTACAACGGAAGACCGCAGATTCGTGGACTCAAAATAGGCAGATATAAACCAATTCACCTATATTCCAAATCGCTTCATTTGGCCGCTAGATGGCCTCAAAGTTGGTGAAAATGTTTTGAATTTTGTAAATAACTCGAATAGGTACCTAATAATCGATTTTGATTATTTTTGGGTTGTGGTTGATCTTTCAATCTACACATTTTGGTGTTATAAAGAATGTTTTTTGAGACCTACAACTCCTACAAAATTGATGTATGGTAATAACAACCTTTCATAACTTTTTCCTCTTTCAGGCAATAACGACAAATATTTTTTATCTGATAGATGATTCCATTTGGGAGTTTTTGGGCCTCTTGTAGAATTTGGATTAAATGCCTACATTATCCTGCCACCCATATTATAATACTTGACAAAGTGCTAGTAGGCACTGATTCTGTAGGTTGACTGTAATTTCAGTCTGATCTTTAAATCATTGTGCCTGACAATTCTTAATGAGTGTTTACGACGATAAGATATACAGGCTGTTACAAATTCGCTTCTCACTACAGGGATCTCTGAAACGGTAAGAGCTACGAAGTAGCTTAAATGGGGGCAAAGTTACGTAATCAGGGGACCAACAATATGCTTCTAAAAAATCAAGGTTAACATGATTAGTTTTCGAAATATTTGAAAGAAACCGAAATTTTGGAAATCCGTCGTTGTTTAATTTCAGCCTTGTTTGAGGAGATATTGAAAAACGAAGAACACTTTCTCATGGCCACTTTTTGCCCTCTATCAAATGGCATAATCAATTTTTATATGTAACGTTTCGTCTCTCCAGGACCAACATCAATTTCATTTTTTTAAATACGACCCTGGAAATTTTAGTACATTTTTTGCAAGCCTTCATGACCCCCAATACTGTATTGTCTCAGCCCTAACCAGATTCAGACGTTTTGTCTCGAAAAATTTATCTTCAGTGCATTCGTTCCAAATTTATCTAAATTTTTTATTCAGATTCCTTTGTTTATTGAATTATCGTACACTGTAAGTCTCGTTAGACCCTGTGAAATCCATCTAGTTATTTAAACTATTACCACCACGCGCTACAATAATAATTTATTATTATTAACTATTCCATCACTTGGCCATAATAAGTTGTTGCGTCCAAATTAAATCATTGTTACAGTTTTAATTTTATTATGTCAAATTAATTCTTAAAAATGCATATGAACAACCAAAACGCCAACTGAATATTACTCTTTAAAAAATTTCAGTAAATGTTCAAAAACATTTTCGTTTTGGCAAAGGTTAAAAATGAAGATCAGCATAATGTTATCGGAATTTATTATATCTGTAACCGCAACTGTGAAAGAGCATGTCAGATGTATTTGTATGAATATCCTGAAAAAAATAGATCGAAATTTGTTTGAATTTGAATTTGAATAACTAGATGGATTTCAGAGGGTCTAACGACAGTTACAGTGTACGATAATTCAATAAATAAAGAAATTTAAATAAAAAATTTAGATAAATTTGGAACGAATATACTAAAAATGAATTTTTCGAGGCAAAACGTCTGAATCTGGTTAGGACTGAGGCAGTACAGTATTGGGGGTCATGAAGGCTTGCAAAAAATGTACTAAAATTTCCAGGGTCGTATTTAAAAAAATGAAATTGATGTTGGTCCTGGAGAGACGAAACGTTACATATAAAAACTAATTATTACATTCGATAGAGGGCAAAATGTTGCCTTCAGAAAGTGTTCTTCTTTTTTCAATCTTACCTCAAACAAGGCTGAAATGAAACAAAAACGGATTTCCAAAATTTCGTTTTTTTTCAAATATTTCGAAAAGTAATCGTGTTAGCCTTGATTTTTTAGAGGTATAATTATGCTCCCCTGATTATGCAACTTTGCCCCCATTTAAGCTACTTCGTATCTCTTTCTTACCGTTTCCGAGATCCCTGTAGTGAGAAGCGAATTTGTAACACCCTGTATAATATACTGTGGAAAGGGTAACTAATTAGTAATTAATAACTAAAATTTGATGCTGTAAGTACTTAAATATTATAAATTTTATGGCTAAAAAAATGGATTTTGAAGAAAATACGGGAAATGAAAGTAGGTAATTCTATTATTCCATCAAATATTGAAGAACACGCAAATAGGGCAACTTTAGATCTATTGCGCTTGAAATCGCGGCAACAATATGATACAGCATATAAAAGATTTATTGAAAGGTGTAAAATGAAGAAAGTAGCACACAAGTTCACTGAAAATATACTTTTGGCTTACTTCGAAGAAAAATGTAATTTATGGAAGGCATCAACACTGTGGTCTAATTTCTCTATAATAAAAGCTAGTTTGCGAATCAAGAACAATGTAGATAAAAGCAAGTATAATAGCGCGTATAATATAAATAGCGTTTTTATAATATAAATAACGTATAATATAAATAGCGTTTTTAAAATGAAAAAGTGTAGAAATTGGACAAAAATCGAAAATATTTACTAGCGAACAGATTAATATCTACATGTTTGCATGAGACTCCAGACACTAAATATCTAATGATAAAAGTTGCGTCAATCAATTTTTGATTTATTTGAAGCATGTCGTCGTGAAGAGCTTGTAAATTAACACTGGATAATATTGAAAAATCAGAAAACTCCTTATCGATTCATATTTTGGAGACTAAAACCAAGGTGCGCCGTAGTTTTTGTATCGGGGGAAGTTACATGAATTATTACATAAATATGCTGCATTAACGCCAGCCACCGTTATCCACTGTCGCTTTTTTCTAAATTACATTAACGACAAATTTTTAATGTACTATTCAACCTGTTGGGAAAAATACTTTTGGAAAGGTTCCTACTAATATTGCCAAATTTCTGAAATGCCTGATCGAAGCAATTTACTGGCCATTGTTTCCCAGGTCTTCGGCATCTTTGTTAGCAGATTCGGGAGCTAATTTAATTACAGTAAAACGACATGGTGGATGGAAATCATCAGCCGTTGCTGTGGGCTACATCGAGGATTCCATTACAAATAAAAATAAAATTGCTGAGAGAATTCTTCCCAGTACCAGTACCCCTTCTAGTGCTGCAATTGCTTTGAAAACCCTTCTACCTTGACGTCAGAGTCATCAGGTGACGTCGACGATAGTATTGCAGTTTCTAAACAATACATTTTTTCTAGATTTATCAATGCAGCTTTCTATTAACTTGAGAAAAATGCATATTAATATATAGTATACTCTTTTAACACTAGTGTTAAAAGTTTTTTTACACTAGTGTTAAAAGTATTTTTGACACGTAAGTTGTAATTGACCGAATTTAACAGAGCAAAAACTTTGTACGCCAAAGAACTTGTATAAGACAATTCGAGTATGAAACATGGATATGTGATGCCATCCAAATGTGCAGTTTTTACCATCTGCAGCTACCGAAATTCCAAATAATAGAACAAGGACAGCAAAGTAAAATATTGTTGAACCTGCCACTATCACGATGATATCACATACATCTAATAATAGTCTTCCTTTAAACCAAATAATATCGATAGTATCAAAGACTACCAAGAATATAACTATGTTTAATGTCTCCTACCGTTGATCCTTCAGATCTAATGGCTCCACCTCTCCAGTATCAAAACCGCAAGCTATCATTTCCATTCTAAATAATAGGGAGTTTTTGCATAAGGTATTATTAGGGAGTTTTTGCATATCGGTTTTAAGAATACCGTAAACGATAAAGTCTCGTGAGAGGGCATTGCGCATGTGCAACAGTTACCGTTGGCGTTTATCGTTACGGTATTCCGATATCCAACCCAGATTACGGTATTAGTTTACCGTGCATTTAGGATAGTAATTTTG